TTCCACTTGATTCAGCATTTAAACTACGCAAAAAGCGCTGCGAAAGAGAGGAAACTATAAAAACAAGACAAACAAAATTTGGGTGCCGAAAATGAGAACCCCAAAAGAACGAAAAAACAAACGACAATAAAAACATTTTGGAGATTACGCACTTGGCCCAGTACACAAACAACACTCACACTCTCGCACATCTGGCCCACACAGATACACACCAGCAAACCCTTCTACGCACTTTGCTAAAAAATTCTACGAAACCCTCAAAATTAAACCTAATTGGCAACTTTCGTTACCAAACCCCGAAACAGAAAAAAGAACCAAAAAACAAATTACCATCTGCGAAAACAACAACAAATTAAAGCAAACAAAAAGCCGGTTCCAAAGTTATTAATGGATTGCCCAGTGAGTGGAAAAGGGACAGGGAGTGTTATTGAATGGATTTCTGAGTTGCAGCTGCCGACTAAATGGATCCTATAGATATCCAGTAAATATTTTCTAGAGGAAAATATCAACACGTAAAGCTTTTAAGTTAGTAGAATTGTTTGAGTTATTGATTTAAAAAAAGTTAAACCTTTCGATATAAATATTAGTTTGATGTTCAGTAAAGATTATAAAAACCAAACCAAAATATTTTCAAATGTTGTTAATCTGATAACTAAAAAGAGTCCATATTTCAAACGGTTTACACTAAAATAGATCGAATACGGTTTTACATAGAAATTTTTAACTGAAAACCGAAATTCGAGAATAGTTCAAATGGGCCCCCTGAGCAGGGATTTTGCCATATTCATCCCCCAACTTCTGGAAATACAGTAAATCAATTTCTCTAACTAGTGAAGATATATTGAGCTAAACTTTGCGATGAGACTTTTAGAAATATAATACCCTTTCAAAGAACCCGGCAAATCGGCAAACAATTTACACACACCGACTAACTAACGACTAATACGACGGCGTTTAGTTAACGACGTCGACGTTGGCAGCGAAGAAGAGGCCGAAATCCGAAACCGGGCACAAAACAAGTTTCCCCTGTTGTTGTCGTTGTTTTCGTCCATCATCTCATTTTGGGTGTAACCAAAATTAATATTTATGTTTGTTGATTTGTTTGCAGGAAAATTGCAAAACATAAAAGGTTTTCTTTCGTAATATTTCACGGCACAGCACACAGGCACACATGCACACGGCTCACAAACACCTGCCAGCGAGTCCGGTGTTTATTTATGCATTTTAATTTGTTTTGCACCTTTTTTCGCAGCAGCTTCCACACACGTAGGTACTTGGATGTGTGTGTATCTTGGCTTTCTGTAGCTGGCACTTCCTCAACAGCCAAATCTTCGATGGCTGCAACGTCCGCTCGCGAAGCCGTTTGTGGAGACTCTGAATCGAAGAATTGAGGTACTTTTGGACCAGAGGCACCGAAACTTTGTTGCCACAGAGCCGCAGAGCCGAAAAAAGAGAGCCGGCCTCTCGCTCTTTCTCCGCATCGGATTCTTCCAGGCGCCTGCGCAAGCCCCGTCTTCTCTTCTCTTCTCCGGTCTCTTTCTCACTTCCTGCCGCCCCTTTCTCCTTTCTCCCCGCTCAATCTGCGACTTTTTTAAAGCTCTGCCCGGGGGACGAATCGCGAAATTATTTTTGCTTTCTTTCGCTGTGGTTGTTGTTTTGGTTTTTCCTTCATTTGCTACCGTGGAATGTCCTGGGGTTTCATGGAACTCGGTGGTAATTACCTGTGGTAAGCCAAGTATTAGGACTGGACTTTCGGAATTTGGTACTACCCTAACACACCCTGTTTTGTGATTATTATAGTTTCATCACATTCACCGACTTTGACCCAAGGGATACAATATATGACATCACTATATCATGTATTGCCAAAGCCCTTAGAAGCTAGATATTATATGATATGATATTACAGAAATCACTGGGTACTGGTTCCCACACCCAATCTGCGTTAGAATATATATAGAAACCCCAGTAAGGGGTATTTCCTTGTCGGTACGGTCACTCATGGCTGATTGCTTACGTGGATGTCCCTCTTCGGGCGCCTCTAAAAGTGTGAGGGGCTCCATTTGACACGTAAGGATTTGCGTCGGCAGCAGAAACATGAAGAGAGGGGAGGCCCGGAGAAGGGGAGGGAGAAAGCGCAAAAGGGAGGCCAAGAACCGGCAAAGGGGCACCTTGCGAAATAGTTTCTTTTTTTGCGGTGGGTCGAGAAAGGGGTTGTGATGTGCGAATGGGGCAAAGTGGTTTAGTTGGACAGCCGCCGGGTGAAAAGAGACGCAGAGGCGAAACTTGCGTCGTGGGCAGACTTAATTACACACATATAGAACAAGATGGAAATGGCTGTGTGGGTGTAAAACATATTTTTAGCTCAGCCAAGGAACCTTTATAGTTTCTTAAAAGAAAGGTTTAGGAAAACTTTGTTTTCCCAGCAGAGGATCAAAAGAAAGCATATGGCTTCCAGCAAGCCGAACTGAATAATTTCATCAAAATTGAGTGGCATTGGGCAGAAAAATATCCAATAGGGAACCATTACTGACGAAAACGCCTGCTATTTTAGGAAAATAACGCCAATGGTTCAAGATATTCATTGAAACATTATGATTTTCCTTTAGAACGCTTAAGTATAGATGTAAATTTGGTGAACATGAATACCCATCCTTTAAGTAATTAAGATATTATGTAGCGGAATGTTGCCTTAAGCGTTAAATCTCAAATCAGATGTTCGGTCTTAATTCTGCTCTGCAGGAGTCGAATTTTACGAGTCTGTGTCCCCGGGGGTTTCCCCACAGAAGACTCGATTAGCTGCAGCTTAAACGGGTTTCGGGATTCGGGTTTGGTGGCAACGTCAGCAGTCTTCTGGGTCTACTACACCCCTTTTCCATTTTCCCCTGCAGCGACAACGCCACAATTCAATCAGCAATATGGTTGGCAGCCTGGGCATCAATTACAGGCCAATAAAGCTGCTAGAACGCCCTGTTCTCCACACCCCTCCTCAGTTAATCTCATTTGGTAAACTTTCCAACAGCTGTTGGGGGTGGAGAATCGTGGGAGGGACACCTAACATATGGAAGCTTCGAGTTTTCTTTTTTCCCTGTAAGCTCTAATTGACAGCTGCCAAAGTGGGAGTGGGGGAGGGGGAGGGGCTTAAGCCGGGAAAACCCACAAGCAGTACCCAACAAGCCCCCTGCCCCACGCCTCGTTAAAGTTGTGCAACAATTTCCCTTTAAATGATTTACATAAAAAAACCACGGGGGAAATGAAGAAAGAGACAGGGGACTTTTCTCTGTCCCGCTCTTTCGGTATCCTTGAATGAGCACTCTCTCTCCTGCTGCGAGAGCGAAAGAGAGAGAGGAGCAGCCGGCGGCGGTTTCTTTGATGAATCGACAAACGCTGATGATTATGATGACGCAGCGTCACAGGAGGATAAACGAGAGGAGCAAGAGAAAGAGGAGAAAAGGCAGTGATTTCCGCTTGCCAGTAGCTGTTGGTATTTTGTTTTGATAAATGCCAAAAGAGTTAGCAATAAATCCCAAACAATAAAAATTACCCGGGGGATAAAGTCCCAAAAGTGGAAGAATTCCTTAACCCCAGATAGAGTAAATTTACGGCAGAAAATTCTGGACTTACTAAATGAATAAGCTAGTTACAGACTTTACGCAGTATTCGTGTGTAAGATGTTAAAAATCCCAGTCTTATAAAAATATTTTGTATTGTTTACGGTATATACATTTGTATTTGAATGGAAGGAAATCCAAAACAGCTTAAGGGTAATTGTAGAATTTTCTTGCATTTTAAAGTCAAAGATACGAATTTATTATAAACCATTCATTGACTCCATTTATACAGTACATGTGTAACAAATGTTTTTACTCAAAATTCTTGCTTTTGAAATATTTCTGTAAATGTGTAACCCTCAAAAAATTTAATTTCTATCCAAATATTAACTTTTTGTCTAAAAATAACAACATATTATTAATAATAATAATGGGTTACAATAAAAATGTAATAAAATTAAAATGAAAAACAAACTCCAATAGGCAAAAAAATATAAGAAAATAAATGTATATATTGAAAGTATTACGGCTAATAGCCGAAATAAAGAAACAATACTGGACACAACAAAACTACAAGTTCATTTGTTTGGAATAATATGTTTCGATTTCTATGCCCCCTAGGGAATAAAAACACCAAATCCTTAATTAAGAGCGAGAGAGAGGGAGAGACCCGCAGCCGCATTTGAGAAAAACAATGGGAAAATCCAGTTTTTCCATATGGAATCCGCCCCAGGGAAAAAATTTAGGAAAAACGACTGCGGCTGGTGCACACAACACCCTGTAGATAAATTGTTGCTAACAAAAGCAATCGAAAAACCCAAGTAGAGCAACAATACCATGGCGAAAACAAGTTAAAAATGCAATTGAAAATTGTTTCTCTCTTTGTTTTTCTCACCAACACAAGCGAATCTTCGCTCTCTCTCCCTCTCTCTCTGTCACACACATACACCACTTTGCGCTACTTTGAGTTCATCGTTTTCAATTCATTTTAGAGAGTTTCTCTTCTCTCTCGCTCAGCAAACACAACACAGCAAACAAAAAACACGCTCGCACACACACAGACGCACTGGGGGAAATTTTATTTTCATATTTCGCTTACTTTTAGCTTCATTTACGATTAAATGTGGAAAGAGTTGTGGAAATTTGATTATAAAAAAACACTCGCCATGATTCCGTTTCTCTCGCTCTGTTCGCGCTGTCTCACTCACGCACACGCAACACGCTATCTTGTGTCTCTTTTTCTCGCGAGCCCGACGAAAAGTTCCGTCCGCTAAATATTTTTCCGACACGATTTTTTTCGTCGAAATTTTGAACAGCAACTGTGGGTGTGACCAAGTCTGTATCGATCAATAATACCGTCCGACGGATATATACCAAAAGCAAACCAAACTAATAAAATACCTCGGAAACTGAATAATATACCAGATTTCAGGGTTGCCAAGTAGCAGAAAGTCGGCAGAGTTGTTGGTCACACTGCAAGCGGCGAAGAAACAAAACATAAACAAATATACCTTAATTTCGTTTTAAGTCCCGTGGACTGAAATTAAATATACAAAATGCTATCATTGACAGACCCAGCCAACTCGGGCGGAATTCCCGACAAAGCCTGGCAGCCGCATTTCGTCACTTTGGAAACGAGGTAAGTTGGGAACATTTTAGGTACAGTGCGCACTCGATATAGCACTTTAGGCCTTGAAAACCCTCATATCACTAACAACATTGGAAATTTCAAATATTCTTGCCCCACAGCATGGGTGAAATCACCGTGGAACTCTACTGGAAACATGCCCCCAATACGTGCCGCAATTTCGCAGAGCTCTCGCGAAGGGGCTACTATAACAACGTGGTGTTCCACCGGATAATTAGGGACTTTATGATCCAGGGCGGGGATCCCACGGGAACCGGACGCGGCGGCACCTCTATCTACGGTTCGGAATTCGGGGACGAGCTGCACGGCGATCTGAAGCACACGGGAGCGGGAATCCTCTCGATGGCCAATTCTGGACCGGACACCAATGGGTCCCAGTTCTTCATCACCCTGGCGCCCACCCAATGGTTGGATGGCAAGCACACGATCTTCGGAAGGGTCTACACCGGCATGGAGGTGGTCAAGCGGATTGGAATGGTGGAGACCGACAAGAACGATCGTCCGGTGGATCCCTTAAGGATCATCAAGGCCAAGGTGGAGAAACTGTGAGGTAATGAGACAGGCTTGAAAGAAACTTAACTTTGAAATTTAGAAATTATAACGAACTGGAACAAGAACTAGTTTCCTAGAGGCTTCTATACTTGAAAATTCCCGAACTTTTTTTAGCTTAAATGTATTTACGGAATGACTAGAAACACAAGATCTTTTTGATCCCACGGTCGCAGAACCCTTCTCTACATGGTGCTGTCCAGCATGTCCACCAGTCGCTTGATCTCCCTGCTGCGGAGAAGAGGAGGCCATTAGATCTTGAGGGTCTGGCGGGGATTGTCCCACTTACATGCGCTGACCCAGCTGCTCCGTGGGCTTCATCGACTTGGTTATCTCCTCCGCCTTGGCCAGCAGTTGGTACTGGCACTTGATGTTCGCGTCCAGGGTGTCCGTCAGCTTGTTGACCGCGTTCCGGTGGACCTCAACATTGTCGGCAGTGATGGAGGAGATGGAGTGCAGCAGGTTGCCCAGGTTCTCCAGGAGGTTGTCCACCGAGGTGGCCAGGTACTGGGCCTCCAGCTCAATGTCGCTCAGCACACTGCCGTCCACCTCGGGAATGTTGCGCGATTGCAGGAATCTTCGGGTGAGCAGACCGTTGCCCGACGCCTGGGCTCCTCCCATGGAAGTGGAGGGCGTGGTGTGCTCCGAGGAGTAGTCGGTGTGGGCTCCCTCGCGCAACTTGGCCTCCAAATCGTGGGCCACAAAGTGGCGCATGCCGTCCGAGTCGCTGGCGCCCTCCAGTTCGTAGGGTAGATCTGTGGGCGGGAAATAGAAATAGGTAGTCCTTTCAAGAGTTAAGGGGTACTTCAAGGTCCATACTGCTCTCCGCCCTCGCTCTGTGCCGCTGAATGTCCGCGGAGCTGTCCTTGGAGTTGCTATTCGAGTTGCTGTTGTCCTCCTCCGCCAGGGGATCGTCCTCCTCTTCGGGATCATCCTCGCCAGAGTCCAGATTCACGTAGCTCTCGCCGTTGGGTCCTTTTGCTGTGCCTTTTCCCGGCACCACGGGGTGACCCGACGCCGTGGGCGTAAGATCCTGGAGGACGTGCTCGGGCACTGCTCCCGGATACTGGGCCAAAAATGGGATTTCCGTGTAGGAGGATGCGGGCGTGGCCCCTGATCCGGGTCGCCCAGCTGCTCCCTCCGCCTGGCCACTCTCCTCGTCCACATACCCGTATCGGGGACGGATGGGGATGTCCTGGTGGCGGTGCGACATGTAGAACTTTTTCTGGGGCCCTAAAATCGGATAAAAACAACGAAGTTTTGGACCACCAAGTTCAGGGAAAAAACCAAAACAAATCAGTGATAGCACAACCACCCAATATCGAACCGGTTCAAAACTAGTTCCACGACTGCTGGCTCCCAAGGTTTAAATTGCTTTTTATAAAACTAAGCCAGTGAACTATTTAAGAATTTATATTAAATAATTTAATACTAAATTGATTTTAATTACTTAACAAGCGATATCTTAACAGAAAGCATGCTTAGTAAATGCAGTTATAGAGGTGGAGATTGATTTTTGTGTAAATTTAATTTTGTAGAATTTGTTCATATTGATACATGCCTGCTTAAAAAATTCAGGAATAATTAATGAAAATTAATAAGGAATTCTTGCCAGCCCTAATTATTGTTTCTGGGTTGGTGTCGCTGCTGAAGGAAATCAAAGTTCCAAGCCATGAATCAGGTCCTCGCTAAAATACTATTTTCTGGCTTTTCTAGCTATTTTATGACCGAAGATCTGCCAGCACTGCGAATATACTATGTTCGGTGAAAATACCAAATTCAATATAATCCACCCGATCGTAAGCGGTCACACTCGCAACGACAAAAAATCAAAAAAAATTTCTGTTGCGGGTGGTTGTGGTTTGCGGCGCGCGTGCTGATCGAAATTTGCGACATGACAAAATAAACAAGTAGTGTGATATAAAACGGATAAAGAACCCCTGGAAAAGGGTTTGGCCAAGCAGCCAGCACTTTGATTTGTGTTTAATGTTCGGCTTTCAAAGTAAATCGCCGCGTCTTAAGTCGTCTTAATTGTTTATGTCCGTACGCAAGGTAAATTGCCAACAATTCAGCCGCTGAAAGTGCCAAAAATGAGCCAGAATCAGAAGAAATGAGCGGCTAAAGAGGAATTTGCGAAAAGAGGAAGCAGTCCTGGCCATGTGTATGTGTGAGTGTGCATGTGTGTGTTGGCGTCGCTAAAAAGTGCATGTGAAAAGTATTGAGTCGAAGGAAAAAGGCAGAAAAGGTAACGAAGAGAGGCACAAAAAGTGAGAAAATTGCTGGAGAAACAACAAACATATAGTGGCAAAATAAAATAAAGTTTTCTTAAAAAACCGCAGTCGACTGCGTTGCGTGCACTTGTATGTGCCGCTGCATGTGTGTATGAATGTGGAAGTAAAGAAGAAAAAAAACAGTTTTGCAGCGGAGTACAAATTCCAATTGGAGTCTGTAGGAGCATTCGGCGAATCAAATAAAAAACAAGTGAGTTTGTAAATTAAACCAAATGCAATAACTTACTGTCTTAAAATAGTTGTGTGTGTGTGCGTGCGGTTCCTTCTATTTTGTTCTTAACTTCTTGTTCTCTTCTTCGTCTGGTTTCTTCTTCTTCCCTTTTACTGCAATTCGTGCAGTCAGCAAGTGTGTGAGCGTGATAGAGCGATCGCTTGCTTCTTTTTCAACCCACCCGTTCCCCCTTCTTCACGCAACACCTCTCTCCAATTCCCTTTATTGTATTGGTGCTTTTTCCTATCTACCGTTATGTTTCGATTGCGATTTCGTAATAACTGCCATCATATTGCATTTGCTCTCTTCGCTCTTCTTCTCGATCGCCTTTCCACTCTCTTCACTTTTATGTTTTTTGTGTGAGTGTGTAACTGTGAATTTCAATTGTTGTTGTTTTTATTAATGTGCGTGGGCTGATTTTCATTAATCTATCAATCGGTTTTTTTGACATCGGTAAAGTGCAGACAGCTGGAAAATAAGCGATAAAAAGAGAGAGAACGCATGTGACATAACGGGAGAAAGGATTTCTACGAATTAAACATATTTTATAAAAATTCAGCTCAAAGTAATATTGTAAAAATTAGGAACAACAAATTAAACAATTATCTAACTAATACATTCTAAATATTTATCATTTAAATCCATATTCATAATTCAATGTTTAATAAAAACAACAAGAATAGAAAACGTTTTAATTTAATTTGTCAACAAATCTATTATTTACTTCGCCACTCAATTGTAATACAAGTGGCAAGTTCCATTTTAAGGATCCTTTTTTTTAAGTAATTCCCTACTTCCCACTTCAATTTCCATTTCATTTCTATAAACAAATTTGTATTTACATTTCCAAGAGAGGTTTTCCATTTTCCGAGGCGACACTTAAACAGGGTTTTCTTTGGCCTTTTCTCACAACCATTTCCCCGCCGAGCACTTGAATGAAAATGTTGTTTTTATTTATTGATTTCCATATTGCATTCATCTCGCTTTCCCGATTTCCCGCGCGCCCACTCGATGACCCGCTGACCCAGCGGAATGGAAAATGGAAAACCGTTTAAGTAGTGCCCTCTTCCTAGATTTCCCGCGCCAGTTTTCCCCATTTTCCTTGGGGCGGGGTTAAGGCGATGCCTTGGAGCAGATTAAACGCGCGTCTTAATGCGATTTGCATTCGTCTTTTGCCCCGCGGCTTTCCTTCGATTTTCCCAGTTCACTGTATATCGTGCCTGGTTTGGGGTCAGCGACTGGGAAATCTAATTGAGGAAATTCATATTATTTTCAACTCGCGCCGCCACTCGGCTCTTTCATTTTCATTTTGCCCAGCTTAACCCCAAAGTGTTTTGGCTTTTAACGCTCACGTGCCGAGTCTCTCTGGGCCAAAATCCCATCTCATGTGCGTGGCTAATTTTGGCCAGGTCTCTTCGGTCTCTTGGCCATGTTTCTTCCTCCTGTGAGATAAGCGTGTTAATGGCTCATTAGTAGTGGGATGGTTTAGGTCACTCTGGAGCCAAATTGCCTAGCCGAAGACTGGGAACTGAAGACTGGACGGGTCTTTAGTTCCCAATCTTTATCCCACACTATTTTCGGCGCTCATAAGTGTTGAAAAAATAATAGCGAAAGAAATGAAAATCATCTAGAAGGAAGTGGGAAATTATAGAAATAAAGCCAAGATTCGAATTCGATTAACACAATTGAGTGCATTTCCACTTTTCCCTAACGGTTTTCCTGTCATTTCTTTGTAAGCAAAATTAAGGTCAGAAAAATATTTTCAAGTTTTGTTGTACCTCAGATAAATAGAACATGGTTTACAAAGATTTGCCAGATCATCTTTGGGCTTTTAGATTATTGTTTCCTCATTTTGGAACTAATTTGGGAATGAAACAGCAATAGTACACAACAATTAATGTTAAATTACAGACAATTTTTATTCTTTGAAGATATACGAATAAAAGAAAGCTAAACCCAAGAATGTACGAATTAAATAAATGAAGAATGTGTTCTTTTAAAATACTTGGAAGTTGTAAGTAGAATCAATTGAATACTTTCATATAGACATGATATTACCTATTGTTAAATTCTTATACGAACACAATGATTGTATCACTGTCAAGCTAACGAATAATTTTGGGCACACCCAGTTTTAATATAGCTTCCTTGGCACACTTCCGATATTTATCTTGCTCTATTTGCTCTCATTTCTGATGCTTACCCTCGCCCACCCTTTATTGCTCAAATGCACACCCTTCTTTCCATTCATCCCTCCCTTTTAGTGGTGTTATACTGTCTGTTATACAGTGCAGTACTTTCTACCCAACAAAGCGCTCTTATTCTTCCTCCCCAGTTTAATTACAGCATTCCTGATCATTGATTCACTTGCTTCGCTGAACAAGCATTACAGTATGATCTCATATGAAATTCCCCTCCCCAAAGCCCCTGGAACTTGTAATTATCAGTTTTATATATATGGTCGAACTCATTTCGCAACGATTCCCCAACCAAACACTATTGCGGAAATCTTTCAGCAAAATCCTCTTCATCTAGTTTTCCCTAAGTGATCTCACTTTGCATTTGAGATTTTGCAATCGTCTGTCGAAGTCCCGTAAACATTTCAAATCCAAAACAATTGTAGTTCTTCTTTGTATATTGTTGTTTGTTCCACTTCATTCTGCCAATATGGATTGACCTCCTTTTGATTTGTTTACAACCAGCGGAAAATGAAGGGTTAATAGGGTGGGGGGTTAAAGGGGAGAGGGCAATTGATGGCTGTGTTTTTGTGGAAGGTGTAAAATGAAAAGCGAGCGATTACCTGGTAATTTTTGTTGCAGCCATAATTTGATGTTATGGCTTTTGCCTTGGTTTAGTTTTCCCTGTTGGGAAATAGTTATTTCTGCTGTACGGTAAAGTGATTTTTATTGTACATTAAAATACTACCAAGTACTAAAAATATTACATTTCTGTTAAATCTTTTTATAGATTTTTTCCGTTTTCCGTTTTTGTTTTGATTGGGTTTGATAAATGAATCTGGATCTAATTGACGTGTGGCAGAATCAATAAAGTCTATTCGATTTGTAGAACAATATGAGCTGAAGAATCCCCTTTCCCTTTTCCCAGCGTGTAACTTTTACTTTTTTCTGTATTTTCGGTGTCCAAATATTTTGACCTCGCTCCCTCGTCTTCTGCCCCCTCCTTTTTGAGTTTTCCCGAAAAAATCTTTTTCCCCTAACGATGTCCGCATTGTTTGCAGCTCATTAATTTTCCAAAGGTTTTTCTCTCAATTTTCTCCGTCTCCTTGATTTTTTATCTGCATTTCCGCATCAAGTTTGTGTTTTTCTCCTCAGCTTCTTCTGACGCACACGAACATGCAACTGTTTGTTGCATGTTTTTCTGGAAAAGATTCGGCGGGTGGGGGTAGGAAAAACACGCCTACAAATTATGTCAAACTATCTGTAAACGAAATCTCATTTGGCCACTGTGTCAGCTGCTGAAGTCAATCATTAGCTGGTCGCTAATTAATTTCCATCTTTTCCAGCACTTAGCGAATTTCTTTTGTCCAAAACGAATGGCCAATTTGTAAAAATCAACTTTATTATTTTGAGTTTAAAATTAACCTTGAATTCAGTAGACAAAACACAAAATGTATACATCATTTACACATTTGGAACCGGTTCGCTTGTTGTTCAAATAGTTTCGCATTTTTCAGCGTTTCTCGATGGAGAAGGGGTGTGTCTATAGGGAGGTGTCCACAGATCTTGTTTGGCTTATTCACCAAGCGGCTTAGGATTCTCTCGGCCACCGCCTCGTCTACATTTTCAAGCCATTAAGCTATAAAACGATTATAAAGTGGAAATCGAGACTAAAAACGTGGTATAATATTGTTCAATAAGGTAGATAAGCTAATAAATGGCTTTAATTAGAAAAGTTTTAAATAACATTTTGAAATAGTGTTGTATTCATTTTATTAAATCTTAAAACAACTTTGACACTATACAAAAATAAACATCTCTTAAGGAGATAAGCAAGCCTTTCAAAAAATTCCTTACCGAAATCGTTTTCCGGCTAAAAAATTTAGGACATCGAAGATGCACATTTTAGCGCAATTAAAAGTTTGTTAGCCAAACTGTTTGCTACCTTATAATTGAGGTGATTAACTTGAGTGGAATGCTACAGCCGCTAAAGTATCTGTGGGATACGCAAAGCTGCATTCTGAATTGGTGCCAAGTCCAGAGTGACAATTTGGACCTAGCTATTTTCGGTATTTTCTTTGCTTCTCTCTGTGATTCTTGAATTAGGAATGGCTGGCTGAGATGCAACCGGCAGAAGATACATTTCAAAGGCGCACTGCAACTGCTGTGCGTTCGAATCTAAAAATACAAAGCGAAGCCATTCCATCACGACTAGAAAACAACTCTATGAATAGACGGCTATGAAGAAGCGCCTCGAAATGATGAAGATCGAGAGGAATTTTTATTATCAACCCTGGAAGTGGCAGAGTAACTTGTAGAGCGTCTATATTCTCCACCCGATTTAATTGTGCAGTCTTCCGTCTTCTTCTCTTTGCTCTGCTTCTCCGATTCTTCGGTTTTAATGAACCACAGAGCGATAAGCGAAGAGTTGGTGGAGGGGAATTCTCCAGCAAAAGGGGATTCGGCGTTATAAATAGTGCTCGAAACATGTGCGACATGCGATGGAAATTTAAAGCGAATTGTGGAGGGTCGATCTTCCTTTGACTTTTGCCATTCTCAAAGTCAAGGATTTGATTTACTGCAATTTCCCCTTTTTGACAGCTCGGAATTCTCTTATGGCGGGGCGAACTGCAGAGTGATCCAGGAAAAGAGCGGGAGGACCTAGAAGAATTGCTGTCAAAGTTCTCAGCTGGAATGCATCTGACGAGGCCTGAAATTAAGCCAAATTGTGTGTGGATAGATTGGAATTACATTGGAGTCATGGGGAGTGGTTATAGAGGAAGGGTAAAGTTCATTGATATG